AATGGAGCCAGTGTGTCGCTCTGATGGCTGCGCTTCCGTTAGCCGTCCACTCGGGCTGCGATTGCGACATTAAATTGTGTGTGTGTGTGTGTGTGGGGGGGGGGGCAGGGGGGGTCGACTTACTACCAGGATTTGGCAAGCACCTCCCTCAGAATATCAGGACAACTATTCACGCTTGTCCAGTTTGTACTTGACTTTCAAAGTTACTTTAAATACTTTGTTTACTTTAAAGGGGCATTTCCCGCCCCCCCCCACCCCCACCCCCCCTCGAAAAAAAAAATCGTTTCATGCAATAGAGTCTTCACCCAGCCCAGCAACAAGGCACGACTTGACTTTGCATCTTCCGCCGTCAGTCGTCGCAAAACTCAAAGACGCTAAAAGCGCTAAGCTGCGGCTAACCAAGGCCGAGGTCATGTGACGAAGAGACGCCGATTGTCTTGATTGCTTCGACTTCCTTTCGCTTTAGCGCAGAGGGCTCGCTCGCGGCGGGTCCTGAAAGAGCGTCGGAAGGAAGCTAGCGAGCAAATAAGGCCCGCCAAAGTCACGTGGTCATCGGCCGCTAACTGCGGACTCACTCGTATTTAACCGAGACGCTTCACTTAGTCCGAAGAACATTTTCTGGTGGTTTGACGCTAACTACTCAATGGATGCTAGTTAGCTCAAAATTCTAGCCGCTCATTTACAGTTTTTTGCATCGGGAGGCTCACAATTAGGCGAGCTAGTGAGCGGCTAATCGATGTGGTTAGCGGATGCTAGCTGCCCACACGTACATGTGCCAAAGAGACGCTAATTTAAGTGAGCGTTATTGGGGTGCGGAACGATTTTTTTTTTCCCGCTTCTCTCCCTCCGCTGCTATTTGCTAACAAGGAGGGGGGGGGGGCCTCTCACTTCGTCCCACTCGGCTCCCAACTTTTCGAGTGAGCGGATGCTAACTCCTCGCCGCTAGTAACCATCTGTCGGCGCAATTTTCCTTTCTTCCGCAGGGACCCGTGGGGCCTCCCGGAGATCGAGGCCTAGCGGGCGTAAAAGGAGCAAAAGTGAGTTGACGACGCATCCGATGTGATCCCGAGTCAAGCCGCCAAACATTCGTGCGCTTGGCCGGCCCGAGCGGAGGGAAAAAAAACTAAAACTTTCTCCGGCGCGTGTGCTGTCTGTCATCTTGTCCTCAGGGGGATCCCGGACCACCGGGCCCAGCCGGTGAGCCGGTAAGTGCCCCCGCCATGCTGTTCATGTTTCGCTTTTTTTTTTTTTTTTCTTCCTCTCTGTTAAGGATTTGTGGCCTCTTGCAGGGCGTGGGACCAGGCGGCTTGGATGTGAGTTCCTACGGAACGAAGAATGTTTTTTTTTGTTTTTTTTAACCCCCCCCCCGCCTTAAAAAAAGTACAGCTTTACTTCCTTTAGATTACTACCCCCCCCAAAAAAAAACAAAAAAACAACTGCTGTATAATTATTGAGAAAAAAAGGAGTTGTTTTGAATTTTTTTTTTTTTTTTTTTTTTTTTTTAGTGCAACATCCTTTTTCACAGAGAAAAACAAATTTTTGGGGGTGTAAAATCTCATCTCTCACGGAAGAAAAAATATGAGCATTCTTCTTGTGAAAAGAAATTGTAACGGAATAGCATGAGATTTTTTTCCCCCCCTCTCAGAAATGTCACTCGTTAAATGTATTTTTTATTTTTTTTCTTGACAAAACCCCCCCCCAAAAAAAAAAATAAATAAATAAATTCTGTGAGATTTGTAGACGTAAGATGAGGGTTTTAATTGAAACAAAATATCTCTATAAAATTCCCTGATCTTTTTCAGGATAAAAACATTTGACTCAAAAAATATGACTTTCTATCGCTGGAAAAATGACGATATTTGTAACTTTTTTAGAAAAAAAAGGAGGATTGTAACTTTAGTACAAAGTAATAAAAAAAATTTCATCAGAAAAAAAAATCAAGTCACCCCCCCTCAAAATGTTTTTTTTTTTCTGTTTAAATGTTTTCATTTTTTTTCCCCTTGGGGGCTGGGGGGGGCTTGTGAATCGGCCAGGGCATCCCGGGGACCGACGGCCTCCCAGGAGAAATGGGCAAAGCGGGCGCCCCTGTGAGTGTGTCCGCATGACACGGTGACCGCCGAGTCCAAGGTGTCTGATTGAAAGAATAATCCTTAAAGCTGCGTGTCGGCACAGGGAGCCAGAGGCACGAGGGGGCAAGTGGGCGCTACGGGAGCCGCGGGACCTCGGGTAAATTCCACCGGGAACGCCGCCGCGCTGCGGGTTGGTTTTTCCGGCGCCGACGCTTGACATGCAGCAAACTGTTTTTTTTTCCAGGGTCCGCCGGGAGTTTATCGGGGCCAAGAACTGGTGAGTTTCGTTCGCACCGGAACATTCGGTGTCAACATTTTCGCCTTAACAGACGCTAACCTAGCTTAAACAAAAACAGAAAAAAAAGGTGAACTAGCCGTGAACTGAAACCTGAACCGAGGCTAACTTTGCCTGGCCGGAATTATCCGGCTATCGGAATCAAGCAGTTGGCGCTCGTACAGAAATCAACTGCGGCAAAACTACCGGTAGTTGGAACAAAAACAAAAATGATTGGGTTGTTTCAGCCAAGTAGCAGCTAACTTACTCGTCAACCGGAAACAAGATGCTTACTAGCTGTTATCTTAGCATGACCCAACGCTAATTTAACCCAAGCAAAATTAGAGTTATGTCATGTTAACCGTTAGCTTAGCTAAATTAGGCTAACAATGAAAGCGTTACGGTCGATCGAGGCTGTGTCCAAATTCACCGGCTTGCACCGGGCGTTTGCATTTTGACAACCGAGGAGTGATGCTAGCTAGCGCTGAACTCATTTTGCGATCAGAGGCTAACTGGGGGACTAACTTCTCGATGTTGTTGTTGTTGTTGTTGTTTTAGTGCCCTAGTGCTTGTCCAGCTGGACTGTCAGGACACTCTGGACTGCCTGGCATGAAAGTAAGTTCTCATCTTCCAAAAAAAAAAAAAAAAAAAAAGCAACACCCACAAAAAACATGTCTGTTCTTTTTGGTCCAAGTTGTCGTTTTCTGAGCGCAGGGTCACAAGGGTGTGAAGGGTGAGTCCGGAGAGCCCGGTCGACAAGGACACAAGGTGACGTCCCCGTACTATAGCTTTCCGTAAAAACCCCACGTAACCAGTGAAGATGAACATTTAAAAAAAAAATAATAATAATTTGCATAAGATTGATTACAAATCCAATGTCAACAATACTTTTCTGAACGGTCAAAAAATGCTTTCAGGGAGAGGAGGGTGAACAAGGGGCACAGGGAGACGTCGGATCTCAAGGACTTCCGGTAAGGGACCTCCAGATCCAGAGCAGGCTCCGAAAAAAAAAAAGAACTCGTTGGGGACAGGGAGACGTCGGATCTCAAGGACTTCCGGTAAGAACTCGTCGAAAAAAAAAAGAACTCGTTGGGGAAACCGAGCCTTTAGGCCACGGCGGAAAAGATGCTAACGAGCAAACCCCCCCCGGGGGCGCGTTCGCAAACGCACTCCGATACCCAAGCCCGGCCGACTCTGAAGTCACAGAGGCGATAAAATGCTAACGATGCTGCAGCCTTAGTTTACTGGGGCGAAACTGAGCGAATGTAGGCTCGACAAGAAGACGGCTAGCTTAGCTGCAACGCAGTCTTCCCAAAATCATTTGGCCATAAACTGGTCCAAGTACGAACTGAAAGCCATCAAATAACCATGGACAAGAGGAGAGGGGTGTGGCTTGAGTGAGACTGAGGAGTTGCAGTCAGGTCAGAAGCGACTCGTGAACCCTTTTGGTATTCGGCTAACGCGTGCTTTGCTTCCAGGGCCCGGCCGGAGCCAAGGGCCTGGCGGGAATCACGGGCTCCAAAGGCGAACGGGTAAGACGCTCAATGGCCAATAGACTCGCAAGACTTTTTTTCCCGCCTGTGACCGAGACGTCGCCGTACAGGGACCCCGAGGGAAGCCGGGGGACGCGGGACCTCAAGGCCAACGCGGAGCTCCGGTGAGTTCCGCCGTCATCCTAATTCTTGCTGGACAGGCGACGACATACTAACACTTTTCTTATATCTAGGGGGACTTTGGGCAGAGAGGAGCCATCGGGGAGACCGGACCCAGCGGGGTGCAGGTCCGAACTTTGAGTCCCGTTGTTTGAACGTACACCGTTGCGGTTTACGGTCGCCTAAAATGAGGTCTTGGTGGTATCCCCGCAGGGTGACGGAGGCCCTTCCGGAATCAGAGGACCGCCGGGACCAAAGGGAGAAGCTGTGAGCGGCGCTTTCCGACTTGGCGACCTTGACGAAGGACAACCGCGGTCCGCGCAAAATTGTTTGGGTCCAAGATGGCCTCGTTGATGCTAACTTGGCAGCACAAATTAGCGTTAGCAAAATGATGTGGGGGGGCCACAAAATGCTAACTCCTGGCTGGTGGTTGACCGAGGCTAACTTCCACTCAAACTGCTTCCGGCAGTTAGCGGCTTATGACCGAATAGTTTTGTTTTTTTTTCAGACCGCGTAACTTCATTCACGGCCGTTGCTTGACGAAGGACAACCGCGGTCCGCGCAAAATTGTTTGGGTCCAAGATGGCCTCGTTGATGCTAACTTGGCAGCACAAATTAGCGTTAGCAAAATGATGTGGGGGGCCACAAAATGCTAACTCCTGGCTGGTGGTTGACCGAGGCTAACTTCCACTCAAACTGCTTCCGGGGTCAGTTAGCGGCTTATGACCGAATAGTTTTTTTTCTTTTTCAGACCGCATAAATTCATTTCAAGACAGGCAAACTGACAGTTCACCGAGTCGAACGACGTCAGCCAAAGAACTGGGTTTCGAAACGGCGACCTTAGAGTTCAACCGGGCAAAGTCGGTTTTGTTCAAATGACTTGGTTCTCATTTCCGGAGATGCTAACTTTAGCCTCGTTATTGCAAAGCTAGCGGTAATGAGGCTAAATTCAGCTGAGCGGAGGGCACGCAATAAATCTGGCAAAACCACTGGATGCTAAGTAATCAGGAACGGAGGCTAATTTACTGAAGCCTACATAGTCCGAGCGAAACGATATTACCCCCCCCATTCAAAAAATGAAAAATATCAGAAAGTTACACTTTTCCAAGGGTAACTCGGTCTTCGAGTAGCGAGCTCACAATGGCTACGGAAAGACCACTGGATGCTAAGTGAGATAGCGATCGAATGCTAATTTGCTTCCAACGTGTTGTTCTCGCAGGGCCTTCCTGGTCCGGACGGGCGGGAAGGAATCCCTGGACTTCCTGGTTCAAAGGTGACTATGGTCTTTGGGTAGCGTCGGCCCCAAGGGAAGGGGTCCCCCTTTGGGTCCCACGGTGCCGTTGCTTGACGACGGACATTCTGCGCTTCTTTAGGGTCTTCCCGGCAAGAACGGAGCTCCGGGTGACGCCGGACTACAAGGTCTTCCCGTAAGTTTGACCGGAACGCGACATTTTTTTTTTTGAACCGCCCGTGAACTGTTGCCCTCGTAATGAGCTTTTGGCTCTTCCTCGTAGGGGGTTCCGGGTTCTTACGGCCAAAAAGGAACGAGCGGTCCTAAGGTGCGGAGAGGCACACAACGCTCTACGGGTGAAAAACGGCTTGCCAGTCTGCCAGGTTGATTTATTTGTCGGTTCCTTGTTGTTTTTTTTTTTGCCAGGGCGCGACGGGTGATCCGGGCGTGGCGGGACCGATGGGCTCCCCGGGAAAGCAAGTACGCAAGTCTGGCAAAAGCTGGCAGCTCAGCGCCGTGAACTCTTTTTGACCGGACGGGCTTTGATTCCAGGGCGAGCGCGGCGAACAGGGCGAGGCGGGACCCGTCGGACCCCGGGGAGGACCGGTGAGTGCTTTTAACGGCTTTTTAACCGGCTCTGACGATCCCAAATTGACTCGTGCCGGTTGATGGCAGGGCGAGCGAGGGGAAAGAGGACCGGGCGGACCCCCGGGAGCATCGGGACCACGGGTGAGGCCGCTGACTCGGATGCCTGAGATGGATGGGGAGGGGGTGGGGGGGGGGGTCTCCATTTCCCGGTGGCCGCGCTAACAGCGGCTCCTCCTGTTTTGACTTTCCGACAGGGAGGCAAAGGCGACGTGGGCCTTCCCGGACTGCCTGGGCCGGCTGGCTATCGGGGTCTCAAGGGCCAAAGGGTAACATTTTGCTTTTCCTTCATCGACTATCGTTTTCCGATTCGTGAGAACAAATGCGGCCACCATTTTGGATTTGGGTTTTATTTCTTACAACAATAACGTTCTCTCGCCCAAATTGTGCATTTGGATGCCGCGAGCAACTTCAAAACGGGCGAGGATCAGAAAGCGTCGACGCGCTGCCCGCCGGCTTGTGTGATCCAAATGAGCGATCGAGCGCTTCGGGAGCGATTGTCCCAAGCCATATTTGGCCACAAAGAGCGCCCCCGACGCACCGCTAATCAAAGTTGGCATATTCCGTTTGTTGCTCAAGTCAGATTTGGATCTCTTTCTGCCCCCC